GGGGGGGGGGTCCTCAGCCCCAAGGTGTACTCGATTGGAGATAGTTAATTGCCCTTCGAATTGCCCTCCTCAGCCCTCACCGGCCCGCTTCGGAAGACGGAAAACCCTCCGAAACAGGCCTTTTAGGGGCCGAAATTACCAAGAATGGCAATTTGTCCTCACCGATAGTTGCAGTGCAAGAAGATAGGACTGGATGCGAATTGCTACCTTGGATCCTGCCGCGGCCAACCGTACCGACAGGGCGGACTCGAACAGCGCGGGTTGGGTGGTAGATTACTAGGTCAGCATCATGCCGGGCTTAACGCGGGCTGACGCGGGTTCCAGGTTACATTTGGAGGTCAGACGAGACCCCTCTACCTTGCACAGTGCTCATTTCGTTTCAAGTCTGAGCATTTGTCGAAGAGCCTTGTGTGTTATCGCAAGTTCCTGTATGGATATTGTTCCTGATTGGGTGGGAGTTGTACTACGTGCACCAGGCAGGGTACTGCAGAACGGATCAACTGGCCTCGGTAGGGAACTGCTCAAGTACAGATACGTGTAGCCAAAATGCCAGAAGCATTTTTGCACTTTCGCTCGATGGATTGACATCCCGGACATGATCGTCGTCTCCACTCAAAAGTGCACTTTTGGCTGGGCATTGCACGATGGCTCATCAAATTCCTGCCCTTCACTATTTCAACCTTCGCTGCCCGCGAAAAAGGAAAACATGTCACATGAAGATGCGAGACAACTCAAAGTCCCAAGTTCGTCCTAAAAAAAAAGGACTACTAGTCAACCGGCGCGTTTAATTGGAAGGGTATCTTGAGTGAACAAGTGTTAGAACAGTATAGGTACAGTGCAGCGGTATCTATAATGCCGGCTAAACTTACCAGCCTTACCAGTCTTACCAGCCTCGGCCATCATCAAGCCCGCAAGATATGCGTATATACCTGGGCGTCTATATGCACATGTCCTAGGCCGGGGTCAGCACATCCCAATTTAATCCCTCTTCTCCGCGAATGGAAAGACAGTTTCTCTTGCACCCCGCAGCCTCGAGGTTATTAGACTTGCCTCGGGCACCGAGTACTACTCGTGGACACTGTTGCACCCCCCTGCTGCCTCTCATCAAACGGACGTGTCGGATGGCTAAAAGAAGGGGTTGACAAATCAACACCCTCTCTACCCTGCAACCGCCAACAATGATCGAGGGCTCGAGAGTTGGAGTGACAAATGGTGAACTAGGTTGCAGTAAGTCGGTCCTGCCGGCTACAAGACCCTCTTAGGAACTCATGCCGGGGGGTCCCCTCAAGAACCCGCTGTCAAATTTGACCCCGAAGTGTTCGACGCATCCTGACGTAGCTGTGCAGCCGCCAAAGCAATCGTCACTGTATTCAAAGCCAGTGATGCGAGTCCGAAACCAATGGCCGTAACAAAAGTCCAGAACCGCAGAGGATCCCGACGATCAAATAAGAGGGTTCTGAAGTCGTTGGGGCTCTGGACGTTCATGTAGTCCTGGAGCCGTATCAGCTTCTGTCCAAGAAAGGGGAAGTCGGCCTGGGTGGAATAGTTGCTCCTGGTGGGCGGAGATTGGAGGTAGTTGAACAGTGGGTTCTCTTCCCAGCTCCTGGTGCAGAGTTCCCATATGATCTCATCGGCTTGACGAATCATAGCCCAGCTTAGTCCCATCGTGTTTTCCTTTTCGTCAGCCCTCCAACGACGTAGCCAATTGCTTCTTGCCTCTGTCCTCACCGCCCGGCGTGATCCCGATTCTTGGGCAAAGATGATTCCGAAGGAGATTAACATTTCTCGACAGTAGTCGTCAAAGAACTGATGACGACCTTTTTCCTCGCCATCCTCGGCCTGGGACACGGGATTTATATGGGAATGACTCATGAGCCTGTAATCTTTCATGTAAGAGACCAAAACCTTTGCACATGGTTTTCGAATGGGGTTTTCGATACTCACTTGCTGAGTGGACTTGTTGATTTGGGATCGCTCAGGCATACGAGTGTGCAAAAAGAAGGATAGGCAAATACACGCAAGGTCCGATTTCGTTCATCTAGGTCAAGGTGATGAAGCATGTCGTTGACCCACTCGATACGAAGCTTTCCGACCCGACGGAGATTAGAGTAGTAGATATTGGATGCCGTGATCGTGTCGCTTCCCGTAGCCTGCTCGGTCGTGGATGCTCCAGGAAGACGTCGCCCAAAGGAAGCATACAACTGGTAGAAAGACAAGGACTCATGATCTTTCACTTCCAACGAGTCGGTGACCTCTTCTGTCTGCCCTTTCATTTGCCTGCTAAAGCGTGGAGAATCTCCGTCTGGCCTTGATAGAACGACGTCGAATCTTCCGTCTCGCGGGGCTAGGCTGGGCTCATAAAGCATGGAAAGTAAGCCCATGAGTAGAAACACGTACTGAACCCCGTGTACGGTGGGGTTCCGGTCATTGTTGTCTGACGATGACGGGCTTTCGGGTCCAAGACCTAAGCCCACTGAGGCACCATTTGTGCGACTCGCTGGCCGTGTTTCCAACTCTCGTCGGAACTCCTTATAGATCTCTCTGACGGAGGTCTCTTTCACCCTTGAAAGAGACACCCTCAAAGCATCTAGATGGATCAAGAGTATGTCTGGAGAAGGCATGTATGGGAAGTTTGTGGTCTCCGGTTTGGATGGTCTCGAGGACTTCGCTGTGTTCTCGACATGACGGACAAACCATTTCGAGCATCGCTCATGTAAAGTTTTGTAAATTGATTCGTTTTTGCCAAAATTCTCGAGAGGACTCTTGGGTTGGTCCATGTCTATGTGCGCAACCACGTCGCTAGAAGCCGCTGCAAAGGAGATTAGCTGAAGTTTGGGTCTTATGCCGCCTTCCCCTGGATTATCGTATCATACCTTGGGCGTCCGTCTGTTCTTTCTTCCTTCGCGCTCAGTCCACGACGCTAGAAAAGACGTACTGTGAGTCGCCTCGTCACCACCCTAGGGGATAAACCTTGTAAAAGCTAGAGACAACCTGAAAGTGTTGGGGCCGACCGCCGGAGAACCATGTTGGCCGTTTCGAGTAGTACCTACCACACTTACTTGGAAATCTATGCCAGCTCCAGCAGAGAGCCTGCGGCTGGGCTTGATAACGACCCCCACCCCCCACTGCAATAGGCTGATGACCGAACCATGACTGTCAGCCTACACAAGTGGGGGGGGGGGGGGGGGGGGGGGGGGGGGAGTGGATGTCTTGAGGACCCCATACCCCTACCATAGCTCACCACCTATTCGGACGCCCCAACTAGTAAGACAACCAAATCAAGCCGCCCATGCAAAATATTGACTTATACATATATTAACAACCAATGAAGTTGATTTCATGCTTTTTATAACTGCAAATGGCCCAGAAATCGAGGGTTTCAATAATGCATTTTCTTGGTTAGCCTTGGCGTAAATTTTCAGTAAAACCGGACCGGCGTCAGCACTCCCAAACACGGATATAATTAATAACCTTTTCTTTCCTTTAAAAAAAAAACTAAAAAAAAAAGAAACTGCAAGAAGTTTGATTTTAAACCGGTCGCCTTTATATTATCTAAGGATAGAACGTGGATTCTTGACTTTTAGGCGTATATAATGATGGCGCACCATGTAAGGCCGCAAGCGAAACGCTGATGGGTTACTGCCCGAGAAAGACGGCCATGCTAGTGGGTTGGCAAGGTATTTATAAGGTGGAGCAAACCGTCGTCAACTCACTTCGGGTGCATCACGAGGAGAATTGCGCACGGAATTCCGGTAGTAGGTGCGATTTCTGGTTACCGATATCTTGACTATCCAGAGTTATATCCCAATCTACTTAGTTTGACGTCCATCGTTGAGCTGCATCCGAAAACAAGTGGCATATTGAACCCGTCACGCTGCAAGGTTTTCTACCTAATATGAATGGACCTGGTGTCTGTCCGCTCAAAGTCAGAGACTACATCTTGTGCTCATGGTGGGAGATTTCTACTTCTCAGAAGAAGTCTCATCCCAATTGGCAAGCTTGGGCGGAGGCTGCCGCTTAGGCATGACAGCCTCGCAGGCGCTCATCACCTTCAAGATCGACGATTCTTTGTTCTCTGGCGCAACCACAACAAGGACAAACGCCCTACCATTGAGTCTGTCGCATACCCGAGCGGGATGATACCAATGGAGTAGCTGCCTGCTGTGGCGATGGTGTTGAAGCGTCCTCAGGGGGGCCTATAAGGATGTCGATGTCGTTCTCTTGCAACATGGCGTCAATACCTTCTTCCCGATTGTGTAGGACAAGAGCAGCGGTATACTCCTCATAGGTCTTTTTGGGCAACTCTGCCGGAGCAGCCCGCTTAAATATCACCTGATTGGGCGTCCCTGCATTAATAATGATTACTCGCAGATAGTCTTTATGGAACTCGTTGCTGATAGGTCACATACCTGTTGGCAAGCAAACGTCGGCATGTTTCTTATTGAAATCTACGAGATCCTGTATCGTCTTGACGGGAGAATGGTCAAGTCTTTAATGAAATTCCGGAACAACTTGTGGGTGTCGATAGCTTGGATGCAAGGTCAATACATCGTGTACCAAAAGAAGGTGGCCTGATTGGGTATCACGGTGACTTACCCAAAATGGTATCAAACATGTCGTCATTCTCGGGCTAAACTTCCGGAGAAGAATGTTGCGTTTCACACATGCTCCAGGTTTCTCCACGAGGTCGATGGCTGTGTTGAAGTCGTGGTTCTAGATAAGGCAGTTTTCACCAGTCAGCTTTTATAAATCAAGCGTGCCTCCTTTCAGAAGATGGTAAGCTTACCTAGTGCTCACCATAGGCGTCGTTTGGGCGCACGGCATTAAGGGAAGACACGCATTCTTTCTCGTCTAGAAAGCCAATTCGGAGGCCCACAAAAGACTTGGCCAAGAAATTGTGAAGAGAGCCCTCCTTCGAAGGCACCAATATGTCCAAAAATGCGGCAACATCGCTGGGCGACTTCGTCATGGGACCAGCAGTATCTGCCAACGGAGTGCTAGGAAGAATGCCCCGAAAAGAAGCCTTGCCAACGTTAAGTTTGAGGGAGTAAAGACTGACCCGGTCGCTGGGTTGCATAATCGATCCGTCTGTCTCTGAACGAGTGCAACCGGCGCCATGCCAGCAGCAACTGCCACTGCCGATCCAGATGATGAACCGGCAGGCGTCTGCTGTGAGTTAGTATGCAATAAATTGCACGTAAATGGCCGGAGAACTTCTTGCGCTATGTCCAAGCCAGCTGTCCGTGGGATCAATACCGTCGGGAACAAATGGACATTGAGTTTGACCGAAGAAAAGGTTACTAAGTACAGCTCTTGTGCAGCATGTGGCACCACTGGCACAAATGCACGTTCAACTCACCCTCCAATTGTTGACCATCCAGCATATCCACCATCTCCCCTAAAGCCGGCCATTTTCTGAAGATCTCCGTCAGATTCGGTCCCAGAAGAGATTGCCACCAATCCAGCCTTGCATATGGGGTGAACCCCTCGGCCAGAGGATCAAAGCACAAAACCAGGATGGGGATGACCTACTGCTTGAACAACATCGGCATTCTGCCTTGCAATTGCGTCTCTGAGGACGTATGCTCCGCATGTTTTCGGTATAGTAAATGATGCAGACGACCACATATTGTCCTGAAATTACCACGACTAGCTTTAGAATAACTTCAAATTGCCTGCCCGGATATGTACTTACACTTTCCAGAAACGGAATGCCATGGTACGGGCTTCTCGTCTTCCCGCTCTCGCTCTCTCGATCCAGCTGGGTTGCAGTGTCCGGAAGCTGTTTCTCAGGCACGACACTTATGACGGCTCCGAGGCGCGCGCCATCTTCGTTATGGGTCGGGCAGTAAGGTAGTGTTACCCGAAAGACAAGGCAATCCCTGCACTGCGATCGCGAGGCTGCAGCCTGCATGGCCTTTCGTGTGCTTGCACTCGCCTGGACTTCATGCACCTCCCTTGCGCTGCTGTTCTGAGCATCTCGCTGCGTGCGTGAGGCTGCGCGAGCATCGTCCGGGGTAGAATGCGTGATTGCGTATAAGGTAACTACTACTTAGATAGGTGATTTATGTCCGCCAAGATGACGAAATGCATGTTGATTGCAGACTCCAAACAAATAAAGTGCTATTCGTACCACATCAGGCAAAATCCATCCCCTTAACAAATTGGAGACGGGATCTATAGGTACCTTTTTATGGATGGGATGGTGTGTGGTGACACGGTAGAGTCACTGACCCTCATTCAGGAAGACGCACCTGTATGTATACATAGGCGGTACTGGAGTCGAGCGGGGATAGCAGCGGAGCCGCAGTTCACAGGGTTTTTAGCTTTCCCCCCTCAGCTACCCAGCATCTGGGGAAGGATTCTGGAGGTTTTTTTCTTCTCTTTTTTCCCCACATACCGAGACGAAGCACGAATAAGGAAACTTTTGAATAGTCGCATGCTTGGCCGTTCACCACTACTGCCAAAATGCCTCAAATTCAAGGGCGAATTCGCTACGTGCAGAAACTCCCAAAGTATGAGACAGAGAAGCCCTTTATCGCTGCGATCCCTGAAGGGACTGTGGATCTTGAGAAAATCCCCATTACCAACCTAGAGTATGAGGAGAAACTCGTTGACTTTGTCGATGTTCGACAAGCTCTTACCGACTTCACATTGCAGACCTCCGGCTTTCAGTTTTTGAGCCACAAGTCCAAGTATCCCAGGGTTTCAACTACGGAGCTTGACGGCTACCAACGCGAAACCGAGGATGTTCTGAAGAAACTTCTCGATGCTGAAGAGATTGTTTGCTACGATTTCAGGGTGAGATTGCCACTACACAGGTCTCCTCTTGTCCTGCTAAGAAGAGTGTCCTTCCTAGCTTCGCAAGAACGTCCCGTATAATCAGGATACTATTGATCTTGGGGATCCACTACAATACCTACAACTAGCAACCGGTACGATACTATTATTGCTCTGATTGTCTATCAACATCGATACGCATGCCGTGAAGTCAAGTGTTAACCCTATTTACATATCCAGACGTACACACTGGTATGGCCCAGCGACTTTCACCGTGTCTATCCAGAGTCTTGTTTTCTAATACACAAAGATTACACTTTTGTCAGCGGTCCCATCACCATCAAGCGTGTTTTGCAGGAACATAATTTGGAACATTACATGAAGCCGGGATACAGGTTTCGGCTGGTCAAGCAAGTCCTACACAATTCCTAATCTTCTTGTGTGAAGCCTCCGCTGACTTATCGTATGTATGCAGTACCTGGAGGAGTGCTATCCCGATGATCACAGATATGCCCTTGGCATTTTGTGACTTCCGAACCCTTGAGACAGGCGATGTCATAGCTGGTGATCGAGTACGTCCGGATGGAACTGGTGAGATCTTTCACGGACACTTCAACCCAAATCACAAATGGTCAGTCCTTGGCATCTTACCCGCTCCGACACGGATGTCTTGCCTGGTGATGTTCCTGGAACCTTGAAACTGATCAGGTGCCGCCATGGACAGGTATTTCCTCGACTTCATGACCCGGGATGAGCCAGTGGTCTTCGTGAGTTACGACTCCATGGCCGGCCACCAAGCACGTCGTAAGCTTGCCCTGCACATATTTACCTTGACCTTGTTGCTCACACCGCCATTCAGTCTGTCCTCATGTTTCATTTCACCCAGAAGGACGCGAGGCAGGATGCAGAGAGAGTTATGAGACGAGAAGCCTCGTCATTACAAAGCTCTAGATCATAATAAAAAGTCAAGGTGGCGAGCAGAAAGTAGGTAGGATTTTCATTGGGTCCATCTGGTCCTTGGATTCGAATGAAGGAACGTAAATAGATACAGCCTAGGAGGAAAAGAGAGAATACGAAGGGCCAGTGCACATTTCGATAAAGGAATGAAGCCTCAAAACCTCTCCGTACAGCCTCAGCCGGTCACAATCTACCTCTATCTTGCATACAGTTTGTAACTCAAGGTTTGTGACATAATATTAGAAACCACCTCGGCCAGCCTGGTCACAATACAAACGAGTACCCACGCCCTTCACTTCAATGACGGCGCTGTTCTTCTTGTCCGGCACGTAGGACTGCTTCCATGGTTGCAACTTGTCCTCGAGAATGAGGTGATGATCGACAACATTGTCACCGTTCTCACTGAACTCAAAGCCAGGAACGACGGCGAAGGCGGAGGCCATGGGGCCAGTGGGCGCGGGGTCTTTGTGTGGCAGAGACATGGAGACAGATTTTCGAGCAACTGTGGACTCTGCTCGATTCTAAAGAAGTCTGGGTCTCTAGTTAGTAACGTAATTGAGAGGTGCATATCCATGTAAATGGAAGGAAAGACGGGTTTGTCCAACTGACTTGGTTTGCTTTTGATGATTTTGAATGTCACTTCAGTCGAGTATACCAGCGACTGTTTTTTGTTTTGTTTTATCTCCGTTTGGAAAATTTGATGCTGACGACAAAGTAGCGAGATATGTAGAAAAAAGCGAGGGTCTTTTTGCAGTTCACATCTCCCAGACCGCGAATGGTCTAGGTGTGACTCGGAGCCTGTTCTCGGTATCATGTTGTTGCACTGACGTAGTCAGTACCCACCCCAAATCACCTGCTCGGGTACTAGGCAGGTAGGTACTAGGTAGGTACCTAGGTACCAAGTACATATGTAGGTATATTAGATAGCTCTTCAGCGCCCCTCTTTTGTAGATGTATAGGATCAACTCAGATTTCTTCCCAACGTTGCCTCGATATTTTCTTCCCCTTCATATTGGCTCAAGTGAGATATGTCCCGAATTGTGATGTCACGTCCCGAATTTGCACATGTAAGGGACAGCGCACCTCGAAAATTTCACTTCCAAAATCTAGCAAAACTCTCGTTCTATCGTCGCTACAGCCTCGTCAGCCGTCATCCCTCCCTTCTCCCTGTCCCCTAGTGCGTCATCCAGGCATTTCTAATTTTCAGGGATTTGAGTACCGTACAGGCTCTCAGTTGGTGGTTGTGCGAAGTTGCAACGATGTTGGCGGGGTGGGATGGTGACCCCTGGATCCTGCATCGAACCGGGCGACCGTCCAGTTACCAGGATGGCAAGCAAATGCGAGGGTGTCGGTACAGTGCGGATGGGATTCAGCGCATGCCATGGTGTTGCTTCCTCAAAGCCAATAATAACAAGACCAGTTCAACCCCTGTCGCCGCCTTCCACGGCTGTAGTCATACGTTGCCTGCCACTTCAGTCACGTCCCTCATACCCGGCTTGACCTGATTGTGATTTACTTCTTCATGCCCGGTGTCTACTCGCCTCCATTCTCCCGGTCGGCGGCATCAATCGTAGACCTTTGACGTTACGCTGCAAAGGACTTACCTAGGTACTCTGCCATCCCACTTCGACCGGGCACATCTTCCAGGTCCCTCGTGACAAAGCGAGAATACTGTGGCGCCGTGGCTGAATCAGACACAAAAAGCACAATAAAGGCCTATCTAATACAGATCTTCTACCGTCATAAGTTGTGCCTGTCCATTTAGTTCTCACTTGTCTGTGCTGCCCTGGGCTATTTCAGCGTCCTGAATACAGAAAGGATAGCACATCTTCTACCACGAACCACGGTGTTGCCATGTCTTCAGCCGAGTTTGACCGGCTTACGCTGGCTGAAGACTCGACAGACTCCAATAGAGTGACGCCCTTGTCCATCCTGTAGGTGCCGTTCAACTTGCAAAGATGTCTCTCACGTTGTTAATAAAAGAAATGCAGGGACGACGATGAATCTCACCAAATAATATGTGAAGAGTGGTGGGAAGAAGCTTTGCGATGTTGCAAAGACATGCTCAATGATGAAGATTATAAGACCTTGGAAGAATTCGGTTCAGAAGAAAAGTTTGTCGAGGCTCTTCTGGGGCTTAGGGAGGATTTTGGGACCACAATCCCCCAAGGCATCTCCAGACTTCTAGGCGAGACGGAATTTTTCCGTCAGCAGTTCCGAGACATACTGGCCAACTTCATGTTTATTATGCTTCCAAGATCTGTGACAACTGGTATGGCCTGGGGACTCACCTACTTAGTGGTACAAGTCATGGCGGTGAGTGAACATCCATATATCAAGCATCGACGCTATTTGCTGATAATTTCACAGAAATATGTCAAACGAGATGATGATACGGCATCGAAATATGCCAAGATGATCCTTGACATCCGTCGACAGCTTGCCTTGGTGAAGCGTGGCACCCCTCGCGACAAGGATATGGATCCAGCCGAGAAACAAGAACTCCGGCACGTTTATATAACCATTCTTCAAGCCTTGATTCAATTTTGGAGAGACAGCATCAAGTATCTCCGAGGCATTCCGAGTAAAGAAATATCCCGTCACAGCCCTGTCGTTGTTCTAGTTCTGAAACTAACGTCTCAAAACTCGAACAGAGACCTCGGATGTTCAGCTCGAGCAGGAATGGAAGGACATTGAGAAATCCTTTGCCAAAGCCTTTGCAGCCATCGGAGAGACCGAGAAGTTCTTGGAAAGGTACTACAAGCAGACCAATTTCCGCCAACAACCAAAGCAACCGGACGGCGTCAAATTGAAGATCTTCCCTGTCCACACAATCCCGCCCCCCATGACGTCTCTGTTCGTCGGCCGGGAAGACATTCTGACAATCATGGGTCAATGGCTGCAATCTGATCGCCATGATCGCAACGGGTTGGCCATCTACACACTGTGTGGAATTGGTGGTGTTGGGAAGACTGAGCTCGCACAAGAGTATGCTAATTCTGCCAAGACTAAACTCGATGCTGTCTTTTGGGTCATGTCCGAGAAGAAAGATTTACTCGCGGCAGAGTTTTCAAACATTGCAGTGCAGCTGCACCTCGAGGGAGCAAAATTCGACGGAGACGCTGCGAACAACCGCAGACTGGTGCAAGACTGGTTTCGTACGGCAGGTGAGTTGAGTCTCCTACCTTGTTCCTGCCGAGGCGCTCCCTGTGTTCGTACATGATGCCGTACTCAGTTAGGGTCACCCTCGCACAGCTTTTCTCTTACATCCCCTATCATGTCCTGGCTCGTCTAGCTTGTCTGCGGGGGCTAACTGCCTGGAACGCCTTGCGTTGCATGTTATCTAGACGAATCTTGGTTGCTAATCCTGGACAATGTCGAGGATTTTGATCATATCAAAGACTATCTACCACCTCCTGAGAGCAAAGGATCTGTGATAGTGACAACGAGGTACCCTGGTTTGGCAAGGCGTTTGTCACTCCATGGAGGCCGCAGCAGCACTGTCGAGAAGCTCGGCAAAGACCAAGCCAGGAACCTATTTCTTGAACTTCTGTTTAGGGAAGAGGAGAACAGTACCACAGCCAAGGAAACCCAATTTCAGGCTCCGGAACTCCCGCCTCAAGAAGTGAAGGCCCTTGATTTTCTGCTCAAAGAGCTCGACGGTCTGGCTTTGGGGATTCAGCAGATGGTTGCATCGATCAAACATGGCCTCCCGTCTTGTACTCATAACCTAGCCAAATTTGTGAAACGATACCAGAAACACCTGCCTCACCTTCTCGAGAAAGATCCGGCTATGAGGCCACACAGGCTCAACACGCTCTGGGCAATGACCTTCGACAACATGCGGACGCATTCAAGCAATCCATACGCATGGAACATACTTGGTACTCTGTGTTGTTTTCAGCCTGATGAAATTCCAATGAAGGTATTCCTCGACTTGAATCCCTCACTCGCTGCGGGAAATTTGGAGTTCTGCAGCGATGAGTTTTAGTACGCATGTTTCCATCAACCAACACTCTACTCCATTATATGAACATTTACCAACTCACGTAACACAGCGTCGTCGATGGTATCAGCTTCTTGCGTAACCTCGGCCTGGTTGATGTGCAGGGCGAGTCGGACGATCGGATTAGCCTTCACCGACTCACCCAAGTCGCTTTCATACTCCAGAAAGACCTCGAGGGATCAGAACGGCAAACAATATTCGAGTCTGCCTCCGTGTTAATCAACGACGCTTTCCCGAAGCAGATCGAGGGACGCATGATGTATGGAGACTGGGAAAAATGCCGGGAGTACATCAAACATGCCATGTCGCTCTATGATTTGTACGGGCGGCTCAAAGGGGCGTCGTTGCCCCTTAGTTGCACGCAAGCGTTCGCTGAGCTCATGACCAACTGCGCCTGGTGAGTGGAGTTTTTGGACAGAGCTCTGGATACGCCAAATGCTGACCAGTGGCTAGGTACGTAAGTGATCTTGGCGACTGGGACGATACCCTTCAGCTTACTCATGGTGCCGCCGAAGCTTGCAAAGAAGTCGACGAAGGGGGCTTGACTCGTGCTCATCTTCTCAACACGGAGTCCCAGATCCACTTTTCCATGAACAAGCTCGATAAATGCCGCGAGGCTCTGGAGGAAAGCCAGCGAATTCGAGAGAAGCGTCTTGGCCTCGTGCACGAAGAATTGGCCAACACGTACATGAATTTGGGGAACCTAGAGGCCGCCGAAGGCAACTATGACAAAAGCCTCGACTTCTACGAACGTTCAATCCACATACGGGAGCAGATTCCCAACCCAGGGGCTCAGTTGATGGTCGGTCTCTGCCACCTGAACCTTGCTCGAGCTTTGCTGTGGAAGGGAGATTTCGAGAGCTCGGGGGCTGAGCTCGATAAGAGCCAAAGCATCATGGAAGAGCATGGTGGTGAAAATTACCACGACATTGTGTTGTAAGAACCCTTTCTCGCCTTGGCCTTGGCCGGTGACATGGACCCTAGCTCACTCACGGCTCCTCACTAACTATGTACTCTAGTGTTCACTTCATGCGTGGCAACCTCTACTTTGAACAGGGCGACTTGGAAAAAGCCAGAGAATTGTATCAGGCCTCACTAGACATGCTTGTAGCCCAAATGTCGACACATCCAAAGGTGGCTGCGATCCACTTCAAAATTGGAACAACTCACTACCGGTTAGGCAGGTGGCAAGAAGCAATGTCAGTCAGACCTCATTTCTTTCCAGTTTATCCCAAATGCCATGTTCTTAACCAAAGACTAAAACATTTCTTGGCAGGGTGGCACTATCCAAAGCACTCCATGTTGCACGAAACCGAGAGGAAAACACGCTTGGAGAACAGGCACGCATAATACGCAGACAAGCGCAGGTGCTTGAGTCTATTCCATCGCCTGGGCCGAGCGTGGAACTCTTGCGACTTGTCAATGGAGACTCTCGCGATTCCGAAACGCTGCGAGCAATTGCGGAACGCCTGCGTTTCAGGGTCACCGGCATTGACTCCTTCCAGGCTCGCTATACCGACGACGAGGAGGAGATTGCTTTCAACATGCTGGTCGGCTTCTTTGACCGCTGAGCAGAGAGATATTTTCTGAGGGCGTAGCAAAATCTATACGATGTCAAGCTGACTTGGGACTCGTGAGCTCGAGACGGATCCATTCCAGGTTGCGTGTCCTCCAATAACAGCCGGTCCTTGGTGACGTAGGTGAATTATTCAGTATTAGACAAGTACAACAAGTCTTGCTGGCTTCGGTCTGTTGTAGCGGCGAAAGGGCTAGCTATGGTGCGCTATTGTGCGCCCTACGAAGTTTGCAAATACCAGGTTGTCAGCTTCGAAGCGAAGAAGCCGCACGCTGGAGGCTCAAGAATGAAATTAGTATGAGTGTATCGCCAGATTGGCTATGTCGTAAGAGGTACGGGCTTTTGCGCTTGAGGATTGAACGAAATGTCGTTGCCAACGAATGTCAGATTGAGCGAACTAGCTGCTCCTATGCTAGATATCTCGGACTTATCACTCGGAGTCTAATTTACCAGTCATAACTTGGCCTGCTTTTTGAAGCATGACGTGAAGCAAGCGTGCAGACTCAGCCTCGTTGGGCGACTTTCAAATTGCATTCAAACTGTAATAACGCAAACTATTATGCCTCCAACTAGGCACGCCGCTCCGCTCTGGCGTGGTCTCTCCAGTACACGTAGATCTGACGCAGTGGAGTCAAGTCACTCGCCCACCAGCCTTTGGTATACTTGGAGGGCTTCGCTTTGGTTGTTGATGCATGCAAGATTTCCGTGGTAGCTGTCATGAGGTGACCCGTCTTCTCTTGGACCGAAACGGAAGTATCTGGTTCTTTTGATCCTTGACCACGCCGTGAAATGTGAGATGACCAATGGAGTTGGCCAATACACGCATATATCTAAACTCCCTGGAATCGATCAAGCGCAACTTGTCAGAGAGAACATACCTTCCCACTACTCCGGCCACGAATGGCAAGCTAGACGACAGATCCAAGAGCGTTCAAAAGACGTGACAGAAGTTGATGTAGGGGCTGTACCTCACAGCTTTCAGCGGATTATCACTTTACTTTACAAAATCTATGCAGCATGACAGGCTTGTATTTCAACGGAAATTGGAACTACTAGTGTTTATTTAATTGAAGCCAAGTGCGGTACAGATATTCCCGTGTAATATGACAGGGGTCGATCACTTGCTGACTCATACAGCTGCAGTCGCCCTGCTTCTATGAGTGGAGCTTCCAGCCAGAGTCTCCGACGCGAGGGGTAAAGGATTGTGACTTGACAGATACCACTACCACCACGCTGACGATCGAGAAAATATGCGAAGGCTGTATCGAAATGACGACAAATCAAAAGAAGTCGAAAGTATATAGGGTTCAGGGATTGCCAGACCGCCCAGGCTTTGATAGATATGCCGCAACCCAGCTCATTGCCAGTGCCATCAACGACCCTACTGTGACGGCTGGCGACATCGAGATCTACTCCCTAGCTCCTTCTGTTGACCCACACAAGATATGGAATCGCAAGGTGGCAACCGTCATGTTCAGCCATGCGCCATCACCTTTGGCCACAGCAGAAGGTTCGGACAAGTCCGTTGATTCAGAATGGCGGTTTCCCGTCCCTGGATTCCCGGAGCCGTTGGTCTTGGACTCTCATTTCTTAGGACTTACGGTGCTAAACGATGTCAGTGCGACTGAACATCGATGCGACTGCATTGTTCTGTCCGGTCTCGCGAGCCATCCCTTTGGATCATGGCAACCAAAAGGTGACAACAAGTCCTATATGTGGATCCGAGACACGTTACCCACCAGTATGGATGGAGTTCGATTCATCTTGTTTGGCTATGACACGACTCTAAAGGACAGTGACTCGTTCCAGACAATTGTGGACCTGTCGAACAGTCTTTATTTGACACTGCAAACAAATGGCTGGGCATCTCCTTCCACGAAACCTCTCGTGTTCCTTGCTCACAGTCTAGGTGGCGTCTTGCTCAAGCAGCTCCTCGTGATACTAGCAGGAGCAAATGAAAATGCTCAGTTTATGCTGAGCATAATCAAGGGAGCCATCTTTTTTGGCACTCCCAGTCGTGGTATGGCCCTTGCACAACTCCTGACTATGGTTGGAGACCGGCCCAATAAAGGCCTGGTCGAACATCTCTCCGAGACATCGAGTTTTCTACCCAACCTGGAAACACAATTCGCTGGGATATCGCATCTACAGAGAATGAACCTTTGTTGGGCTTATGAGACCAAGACATCGCCAACAGTCGTAGGTAGCCATTCGTTGCCTCCTTGTGTTTATAACGTAGTCCATCCTTCAATAGGGTCTTTCTGACAGCCATATAGGAAAAGATCGATGGAATATACAAACGATCAGGTCCAAGATCAATCATGGTCGATCACCAATCCGCGACAGGATATCGCACTTTGAATCCATCGTCTACTATTCAGATCGACGAAGACCACTCGCATATGGTTAAATTCAACGTAGGTGACCGCAGGATACCGATCATTATCAACAAGATCCGAGAAATCTGCTTTTTAGGCGAAACACCTCATCGGATGGAACCCACTGCGTTAGCGATGAACATGAGCTCTGGTGTCCAGTATGAGAGTGACACTAGCTATGCAAGACAAGATTTACTGGATGATGCACGTAACTCTGAGTTAGTAGGCTGGGACTATGATTGTATGAATACCAAAAAAATCAAGCTGACCATAAAACACATTACTAACTCATGTAGTGATCATATCAGTTCTCAGGGCGCCAGAAAGAGACCAAAGATATGGCCAGATTGTCCAAAATGTTGGCCATACCTTTAGCTGGGCCTTTGAAACTCAGTCGATTGGCTTATCACAGTGGCTAAGGGAAGGCGAAGGAATATTTTGGATCAATGGTAAGCCCGGCTCAGGAAAATCAACATTCATGAAATTTCTCTTAGACGACGACCGGACAAAAGAGTTTTTGCACTACTGGAGATCAATGTCTGGACAGATCATTGCAAGCTTCTTCTTTCATCATCGCGGTACTCACCTACAGAAGTCATTTGAAGGCCTGTTGGGAAGTCTCTTGAGTCAACTGTTGGAGGGAGATGTCCGCCTCCGCGGACTCATCGGAGATTTCCTCTCCGAAAAGTCCACCGGTCTATACGAAGCCGTTCAGTCCGACGTGAAAACACTTTTCCAGTTATGCAACATCAAATCCGACAGCACTGTGCACCAGAAACACATGGTCACTCTTTTATGCGAAAATCCGTCACTGAAGCTGCACCGTCTTCTTCAAGACCACGTACCGTACCTGAAGTCGGCTGATCGCTCGTTGATTAAAAAGACACTTCTTCGTGACTTTGACGGCATTTCGCATGCCACCAGTGATAAGAGTGTCTACGCTGCGGCGGAACAGAACACGCTTCGAAAACTCTTACCCACATTTACTGAGAATGAAGAGAAAATCAAATTCATCATTAGGAGTTGGAGTGAAAGTCTCGACATATCTGGTCAAGTCGGAAACTTTCTGACAGAGGCTGAGCTGAAGCCAGACAATAAACAACACATCACCAGGTTGATTGGGCGGCAAAGAGCACGCCAGAAACGTCAAATCAGCATTCAATTAATGCAGTGGACACAATCTGATCTTGAGCAAGGACTTCGACGAGTTTTTGACCAGGACGCTTTTGATCTCGAAGTTTGTTTATTTCTCGACGCCCTGGACGAGTATGCCGGCAGCCCCGAGGTCGTTTCTGCGTTTTTGAAAGACCTCGTCAAGGCAAAGTTGGGATCAAAAACACGGACCAAGATCCTTTTTTCAAGCCGCCCGTGGACCGTCTTCCGCGATCACTTTGGGACCTGTCCAAGCTTCAGCATTCACGAGCACACCTTGGAAGACATCCACGAGTACTGCGCTAGCTCTCTACCGGAATGTAGCAGAATCAAAGCGCTCATTCGCCCGTTCGTGGGAGATATTGCCAACCGTGCTAGAGGTGTGTTTGTTTGGGTAAGATTGGTTATGACAGATTTGGTCTCCTTAGTGACCGCGACTAACGAAACGGACGAGGAGTTGCCTCAAAAGTTGCGTCACTGTCTCGATTCACTTCCCGACGAGCTTGAGGAATACTATTCAGCAATCATCCACCGACTCCCAGCATCCACGAGAAAGCAAACGTATATCCTTTTGGAATGCTTATCGCGATCTTCGGACATAATCTATCTGAGTGAGGTTCCGGAATTACTTGCTTGTGGAATGTCTGATTCTCTGTCCGAGGCTTTGGTTGCCATTACAAATGAAAATGCACCTGGTTTTGCAGATCCAGAAGGCCACGTTGGAACTATTTCAGGAGGGATAATCGACATTGTGGCCGGTAACGGTCTTCAGTACTCAGCTCTCTCGGACTACAGCAGAAATTCGTTGAAAAACAAGCGAGATTGCGTATTGCAGCTAATGCATCAGACAGTCAAGGACTGGATGGAATTACCCACATTCAAGCACACTGTTTTAGGAACTCGCGCGGACATGACACCGGAGAATGGACACAATTTTCTTGTCAAGTTTTACACCTACGTCAATTGTGGCCTGGGTAAGAGATCGATGGGAAGTTCGTCGGGCTCTGCTATCCTCGACCACGCTGTTCAGGCTGAGATGACCACTGGAGTCAGTCAGTACATGTATTTGTCTCGACTTCCTGCGAATGTTCTAGGACACGTTCTTCGCCAGAAGAATGACTGGCCTGGGACATTCACAAGACACCCAGATATTCCACAACGCAGAGGGTATGGTGGAGGCATGCCGGTTAAAGATATCGATTGGCTCTCCAGTACAGGAATCCCAGGCAGCACAGAAGTTCCGGGAAGCGCAGGGGGACCAAGCGAGCTGGGCGTGCCAGGCAAGCTGACAGAACCACCGGGAGGTCTGGGAATACCGGGAAAAGAGAGAGTACTCCAAAATACTCGAGGGCCCTCGCACGTTTTGGCATCTGGGCTATACTTTGCAGTTGTCGGCGGATTATCTCTGTACCTAGCAGATTCTGTTCAGCATGACAGTTTCGTATTCCAAAGGTCGTCCGAACCACTAGTGTCCATTTTGTTGGAATTAGTGCTTTACAAATCGGCGGTACAGCAATCGGACATGGTCGCAGCGCGTCTGGAATCGGCCAAGCTCATTTTGAATAATGGCTTCAGAATCCAGCTATATCCTGACGCCTTTTCACTCATGTTCGAGGGAATTTGGAGGAGCCCAAATCAACAGACTGCCGTCATATATGCAGACCTTGTGTGGGTAGCCGTTCGGAATGGGTTGTCTGTGGCAACCCTCTTTGGCATTGGCCTCGATCCAGGGAGTCCAACGAGTGTGTTACATCTCAGTCCACCGACACTTGCAGAGTATCTCCTAGAGAAGGGTGCCAACCCCAATAGGCTGAATGGTGCAGGGCAAACTCCTCTTGATTATATTCTCGAACCAGACTCAGTGTTCCAGAGAAGTCCCTTTGGTCTTGACTGGCTCTATGATGTAGTCCGACTCTTGATCAAGAACGGCGCCCAGCGACGCAAGGGTACAAGACACAGCCAGCGACTCCAGGGCCACAAGCTCCTTCAAAGATTAAATGACAGCGGCTATGATATTGGTCCGCTTTTGTCGCTACAGAGTCAATCACTGAGCTTGGATGAACAGAGTATACCGCCATCTGAGCCTGGAAACGGAGTGGCAGACGTGCCTCCATCCGATACATCTGCTGGACAAGAAACGGCGCGCAACAGACTTGCAAGATTATTTGGCGGATCCGGCGGTTTCTTCAGATGGTAATTCTTCTCGCATTATGATACCCTTGTTAGTGGAGCTCAAATAATAGAGATTGTGTTACTGCTTATTGAAATTGCTTGTTATTGTGGAAAGGTTGCACACGGATAATGACTGTAAAGTAATATACTATGTAAAAGGGTGTAACGGCACAAAACGAGAGATAAAAAGAGAAGAAGAAAAAGAATTATATTTAAACCTTTAATTTTAAATTTTATATATTATAAGCTGTTATAAGTTTATGGTTACAGCTATGTGGGCGGAACGTACAAGGTACATATATGAATGGCGTTTTTCAATAGGCTGCCCTTTGGTGCTCCATAAGCGTCTGGCTGCGCCCTAAGAGCGCTATAGCAGCCAGTAATATTTTGTTCTCGGCAGCGGCAGGATGCCCTACGCTATAGTGTCGGGCCATCGTCATTCGCGTCATTGACAAAATAGCTCATCTGCACGTCAATACTTTAGACTACCAGGTAATTACTTACAGCTTACGTGCCATTGACCATCACTAGGTACTGTTTGTATGCTCACAGCCGGTCACTTGACCACGAACCCTCTGCATCGGCCCTTTGGTAGCTCAGCCTGGTAGAATACTTGCAATTTCAAAGTCTGCCGCTGAGTCAACTCCGTTCCCAAAGATCCACTCACTGCACGCTCCTTCATGTTGCACCGACGTAGTCAGTACCCACCGCAAATCCCCTGCTTGCGTGTATAGTTTGCTTTTCAGCACCTCTCTTTTGTAAATTAGAGATTAACTTAGATATATTTCAATGCTTCCTCGATCATCCCGTTTTCACCTTCCCCTTTAAACATTAGCTTAAATGAGAACTTTATAATAAAATACCTAATATTCCGTAAATTAATGGTAGGAAAAGGAAGAAAGAGGTTCCTAATTATAATTATAGCTATAAATATAAAAGTCCCTTACCCGTGGGTTAATGGTTTTAGCGTTAATTTAACCCCTTAAGCCAGCTTAATGGGCTAAAAATATTATAACTTTAATAATATTATAATTAATTTCGATATTTCGACGATTTCTTTTACGAATTTTTATTATAAAAAATTAAAAAAATATGCGTTAAATTCGCAAAGCTAATTTATATAAAAAAAACGTATTAAAATTTTGTTATGGCAGATATTATATAGCACCGTCCCAATCCCATGGGCATATAGGTCCCAGTTCGTGATCGTTTCCCAACGATTGCGAGCATGCTCTTTGGCCATTATCGTATAATAATAGCAGTATGCCTTGATAATTATGCTCGCATCTATAAAGCTCCGGTTCGATGCACGGTTCGACCTGCACGCAGGTGGCCAGCTAAAAAAACTCTAGTTTTGCGTAGAAATGCGCGGGTGAGAGATCCAGCTCTGTGAGGTTATATGTTGTTATAGACCTCGGAGGGTTGCCACACCTTTATTAGCCACGGGCCGTTAGAGTGGTATGCGTACGTAGTGCCTATATACTCCGGAGGGGAATCTCCCCTTTATCGTAAGGCATTCGCTAGCTAATCGGGATACTGTCCTATAGCTAATATATATATGGCTGATTTGTACGCTGTGTACGCGTACGGTGGTGCTGCTGCACCATAAAGCTGGGAAGCCCGTTGATTTGAGTTGAGTTAATGGCTGGATAGCTGCCATTTCGGTAGCCTGTTCGCAATCGGCTTTTAACCCGTTATACCTTGGCTATCGGGGTCGATGGCCCTGGGAGAGGGGATAGTTGTTATGGCAGATACTATATGTGTCAGATGGTGGATTATGGTTCCCATACACTGGCGTATGCTTGAGCACACGGATTAATATTATGGTGTCCAGATAAATATACGGGACCTCTTAGGGATTAGCCGGGGCCACTTAAATAAGCGTATACCTTATTAAAATTAAAAAGCGTAAAATATAAATTAATATATTATATAATTAATATTAATATTAAATTAATTTAAATTTTAATAAAAAAGTATTATTTTAATTAATAATTAAAAGTTTTAATGCCTCCGCCGAAATTATAAAAATAATAATTATAAAAAAAGCCGGAATCGGCCTAACGGTATCGTTAAAAATAACCTTTGATTAAAATAATTAAAAATATGCGTTTTAAATTTAGGTATAAATTACCGGATTAATTAATTATTTTAAAAATAAAACGATTTTAATTAAAACCCTAATTAAACCGGATATTAAAAAAACTAAATATATAAAAACCGCGGTAGCGATTTTTGAAGCTATAAATAAAAATAATAATCCGAATATTTAAAATAAAAAAAACGGGGAATAAATAATAACGGATTTTACCGAAAAAAGTTAAAAATCGTTTAATTTCGATTATAATTATTATAAAATAAAAAAGGCTATATACGCTAAATAATATATAGCGATTAAAGAAATTATAAAATAAATAATTATTACGATTTTTTTAAATTTTTTTTTTACGTATTATTTAATTAATAAGCCCTTATATAAATAATATAAAAATTTTAAGGCTCGCTATAATAAATTAGCTTTAAATAATAAAAAAAAAGCAAAAAAATAATATTTTAAAGCTTTTAAACCTCCGAAAATATTAAAAAAAGCTATAAATTAAATTAATAAATAAAAAATAATTATAGCGAAAACCTAAATAAAATAAATAATTAAAATATAAAATAATTCGGCTTAAATTATAAATTTTTTAAATGCCGTTATTTTAATTATATTATAATAAGCCGCTTTTTATTAAATTTATAAAAAATAAAATATTTTAAATAAAAATTTAAAAAATCGGATAATAAATAATAATTTCCGTAAAAGCTTAAATATTTAATAGCCGATTAAGCTAAAAATTAAAAAAAGCGCTTTTGTAATTTACGCTAATAAAGCTAATAAATAGCCTTAAAACGGATAAAATAAAAATATTTACTTTATTAAAAATTAAATACTTTTCCGATTAAATATGGTTAATTTATATAAAAAAAGGGGTAAACGAATTATTTATAATAAAAAGCAAAAGGATATTAAATACCTTATTTGCCACTTTTTTTACGCTTTTAATTTATATTTTTATATATTTTTAAAAAAAGCTTATTTAAGTTTTATTTTTAAAAATAAAATATAAGCACGAATAAATAAAGCTTTTAAAAAAATTTTAATTTATAAAAGCAGGTTCGTAATTATTAATTAAGGTGGTGCTTTCTTATTAGAGTTTAAACTAGTCTGATATTAGTGTTAATTGTATAATATATTGATTTATATTCCGCGCCTTTTAGTTTTAATAAGGTATACGCTTATTTAGGTGGCCCCGGCTAATCCCTAAGAGGTCCTATATATTTATCTAGATATTATAATATTAATCCGTATATTTAAATATACGCCAATATATAGGAATTATAATCTATTATCTAATATACCCCTTTAAATCTACGATTTATCGTAAATTTAGCTATATTTAAATTAAAATTGCTAATTAGCAAAATATAGCTTTTTTTAAAGTTATTCGTTTTATTTACGATAAGCAATTTTAAGTTTTATTTATTATAAAAAATTTTGCTATTTTTTTATTAGCAAGCTTTTCGTTAATTTATTTGCTATTATTTTATTGAAAGGTTTATAAATAATTTTAATCTTTTTTTCTAGGCTTTTTGCCGTAATTAATAATTATAAATATTTATATAACGAAATTTTATTTTTAATAACGCGATTTCGGCGTTAATTAAATTAATAATTTATTTATTATTATATTTAATAATAATAATATTATTATTTAATTATATTAATAGTTTTTTTAATAATCGGCTAACGAATAATATTTTTTTGGCAATTTATACTAAAATAAATAATTTAGCTTTTATAATAAAAATAGTAATTATATTTTATTTATTTAATTACTAATTAATTAATTTTCCGAATAGCTTTATAGCGAATATTTAAGTATTTTTACGATCGATACTATTATCGGCAAATAATGCGTTATTAATAATTATTAAATTAGCGGATTTTTTAATTTTAAGCGAAAATTTTTTAATATTAATTAGGTAAATTAAAGCTTAATTAATAGCTTTTTAATATATTTAGCTTAAATTATTAAGGAATCGAGCTAATTTAATTATTACGAATATAATATTTAGTTTCGTAAATATAGCCGTAAATAGCAATAATCCGATTTTTTTTTAATATTTTTATATTTTATATAAAAGCGTTATAATTAATCGAGGTATAAATTTTTTATAATTTATTAGCGTTATATAAATTTTTTATTTATTTATAAGCTTAGCGATTTTTTTTAAAATAAGCCTTTTAAAATAGCTAAATTATTTTAAATATACGATTTTTAATTATTTTTATCCTAAAAAACCATTATATTAGCTCGCTATTATTAATTTTATATTTTTTTATAAAATATTATATTAAATAATTAATAGCCTTTTTATTTTTATTTTTATATACGATAATTACGTCGTTAACGTAAAAAAAAATTAGCACTTTTTTATTAATAAATGTGTAAGGCTTATATAATATTTAAATATAGCCGATTTCGGCTAAAATTTTTATAAATTTTTTTATTATAATAGCGGTAATATCCGTAATTTATAAAATACTTTATTTAATAATAATATAATATTTTTTTTCGATATTTATCCGGTATTTTTATAAATATATTTTAATCGATAAAAGCGTATATAAACGCGTTTATTATATTATATTATATTAATTTAAAATCGAATTTTGCTATAATCGCGATTAAGGTGCGAAATAATTTTTTTAGCTAATATAGCCGTATAAGTTTCCTAATTTTAGGATTTCGCCTATTAATTACCGCGAACGATAAATTTTGCTTTATACTTTTAAAATTTTCCGTATTTATCGAATTTATATATATATACTTATATATAATTAAAAATCTATTTACCTTTTATTCGTAAATTTTTTTTATTAATTTTAGTTTAAAATTATATATTTTTATAATTTTGTAAATAATTAGCTTTTGCTTAAAGGAATAATTTGCTAAACGGATAATAATATAATTTATAATA